TAAACTAAACTCTATTCACATCTTTTATCTAATCTTTTAAAAGGGGTTGTATTTTCCCTTCAGCTAGTTCCTCAGAGCAATACATTGATATTTTAAAGGGAAATTTATCATTAAGGCAAGCAAATTAGCATGTTAGATAAACAATTAATATTCTATAAACTAATCTATTATGCAGCTCACTTAAAAAAAAAAAAATCGTAACACATTTAAAGTAGTCTTCAAGCTTTAAGTATAATTGTTACACAATATACAAAGGAAATTTCTCCCAAATGTTATAAACAAATTATTAAATGCTGTATTTTAATTTACATATACAAAATATTATAAAGAAACAAATTATTAGATGCTGTATTTTAGTTTTCCAAATTTTTAAAAATGATAAATGGAGGAATGGACAAGAAAGTAGTAAATTTTAATCAAACTAAATAAATTATAGCTAAATCAATACCTGGCACTTTGTTATTTCATAGCAATATAAGTCTACCTTGCCTAAATACAGAATGTTTCAGGCAAAAGTACATTTTTAAAAAAAATTGTCAAAAGTTGATAATTGATGCTATATTTGGTTCAGGAATATGTAAAGCTCATATATAGTTTATTGATGCTTTATCATGAATAATGTCATAGAATATGTACAGTATTATCCTTGTGAAAAGTAAAGTTACACTACCACAATTAAAACGAGCATAGTCCTTCCATTTGATGAATATAAATTTGTCAGTATCAGGCAGGAACAATACACACATCAATTTAAAAAAGCATCATCAAACACAGAAATATAATTAGATGTAACAAAAATTTTGAAAGATTTCTGTTTTTCTCTAAGTCCTTCAGATATTACTCTCTTGTGCTTTGTAACAGACAAAATATGTTATAAAGGTTTGAAGACAAAAAATTCTACATATGAAACAAATTTTAAAATTGCCATTCCCTCTGCAAGCCTATCCATGTTATAGGCAGCCTGGTGTGAAACAGACTAGTGAGTGCTATACTGCAGTGGCTGTACTGGGTATTTATTGCGATAAGCAGTACTTAACTAAGCTGAAAGAAATTCAGATAGGAGCCTGGGTATGAACAATTAGGATGTATAATCTCATGACAAGAGAATACACAGCAGGAGAAGAAAAAATACAGCCATCTTCCTCTGAGAAGACAGAATTTCCTGTAAGTTGCAAAAAAGTGGCTCAGCTGGCTTTGTCATTTTTGCAAGCAGGGAAAGCCTTGGTCTGCAGCAGAAATCTTTGCAGAGCAATGACTTGCTCTTCTTGGAAGGCTAATCAGAAGTGGACTCTCAAATCAGCAAGGTGTGGGTCCAATCACGAGAGAGTTTACTGATGTGGTCAAAATACAAGATATTGCTGACTATTGACTAGAAATTACTTGTACTATGAAAGGATCCCATGCTGTAATGAACACTTTCTAAAACAATATGGCAAATGTTATGAAATGAGGCATGTAAACATTCTGTACATGGCAAGGAAAGTAATCAGGAATTTTAATAATATAATACCATAATAGAACACATACAAATTATTAAAATGATACTATTATCTCTATATATAATGAAAGAAAGAGTCTGTCTGTGTGTGTTTTTCATTCATGCTGCTCATAAGCTAATAGACCGACGGCTACGGAATTTGGTACATAGGTGCATCTAGACAAGATGCCAGGACACCTCGAAGCGATTTTTTCGAAATTCGAATTACAGTTTTTTTAATTTTATGTTTTGTGATGAAATCGCATCATTTTGAGACATAATGAGCTATAGGAAAGCGAGATTTTACTCTACACATTCCATTTTCACATCGTCATGAAACGTAGGCACTTAGCTATTTTACGAACTTAAAATAAATTTTGCGTTTCAATAAATTGATTAAATAGGAATTTATTTAACAAAGGGAGCCTAACACCTTTACAATAGGATTTTTTCTAAAAAAGTTCATTTTTCTTTTGGACACGTTAAACTTTCATCCTTGCAACTGCTTTTACAAAAAGAATTTTGGAAAAATGATAATATTTTGTATTTTTTAAAAAAATTTTAAATGAGGCTTCTGAGTACGTTTCTCACATCTCACATCTTTAAAAAATTTGATTTTGGCATCAATTTTCCTGTCTTATTTGTTGTTGATAGATTTCTGATGAAATCCCATCATTTTGAATAGTTTCATTCTTTCAGAAATATGGGTTTGGCAACATTTTTTCATTGTATTTCTTATGTCATTGTTTTTTAAGAGATTGCCATATTTCATTGTCATTTATATATATATATATATATAATACATTTTTATTGATTTGTTTTTATAAAGTTGTTCTGAAGAGTAAAATTCTGAGCGGAATTTTATGCTTTTTGAGTTGCTTTCATGTTATTTTTTGCTTATTTCACTGTTCGTAAGATATTGAAAAGCTTTGCATGGTTTTTTTCCTTCAATGGAAAGTTGGTTAATTCTTTTGTTAGATAATTAATATTTGTATTAAGGGATATTGCTTATTTCATTGTAATTTTATTATACGTAACTTTTTTTATGAAGTTGTTCCGCAGAGTGAAATTCTACACAGTTTTAAAATTTAACATTTGGTGTTCCCTTCAGCCATCTTCCCGGTACATTTAAAAGCCAGACGAAGACTGGCTACGAAGCTGCTAGTATAGTAATATATTACAACACAATACTTTATTACATTTAGGAAAAAAAGGAAAAGATACATAAAATTAAATAATTTGGTGAAATGCATATAGAAATTCTGTATATTAAATCAATAATATAAATGAAATGCAAAATAAACATGGTTTCCACTAGATACTAACAGTTTCCCCAAAATCTCCCCCCCCCCCCCGAGTTTCAACAAGTTCAGTTAGATTAATTTGAAAGAGACAACCTATTTACCTTAGCATTAAATAAGCTATGGGACATGCTTTAAACTACAACTTCATACAATGAGATAAATACTATAATAAGTGAACATTAAAAAAAAATCACTTAAAAAAACAACTCTGTGCAAACTCAACTACTTTGCAAATACTCAGCTGTGCACAATACTGTTAAAATATTGTTTCTAATTATTATGAAGTTTTAGATAACATAGATAGTAAATCTATTGTTTTCCAGACACACAGACATTTCTTCACATTAAGAAAGTGTTGAGCAAATAAGTATACTTAAATACATTTCATGCTTAATATGAGTAAAACCTAATTTAACAAGTCAAGGTTTGCTAAGAAAACATTTTATTTGAAAAGGCAGAATTAAGATAAGGAACTATATGCTAACTCTTATTAAATTCAGTATAAAAATGATCAAAATCTAACCTAATAAGAGGGAGATGATTGCTAAGTAAACACTTCAATTTAAAAATAAAAGCACACAAAAGGAGCTGAAGAGTTTGATTTTGTTACACTCATTATAAAAATATCTAAAATAGATTCTGTACTATTCTTGCTATAGCCAATTGTTTCCAGGAAAAAAAAAAAAAAAAAAAGAATAAAATTGCTAAGTAAAATCTTTTAAAAGCATGCCATTTCTCAGAAGCTTGCCTGCACTGTCTTGCATGCCATTTTATAAATAACAATTAGAAAGTTTAAAAATCTGTTATAAAAGACGAAATTTGTAAAATGAATTGAATGCATAAAATCGGAGCTGATAAAAAAATACTCATTTCCCTTTTAATTACAAGAAATGCAATTAAACTAAAAAAATCCTTTTTCTTATAACTATGAAAACTGTATTCACATACTATAAGATCTAAATAGAACAAGATGTTTGAAGAGATGCTCACAGCATTTCACATCTTTGGCAAATCATAATTATGCACCAAATTACCCTGAATATAACATAACTAAATTTTTAAAAATTATTTACAAAAGAATAAAAAAGATTTGCCTGTACAGGGTGTTCATTTTAAAAGTAGACGACTCTGCAATTAAGTGTATATAATACTGAGCAGATTTAGATTGTAGTGAATTTTGATTACTGTATTGTTTATTAAGGGGCTGATAAATGAGTTTGTGAGAGGAAGGGGAGCATGAATTCTTTGGATTGATAAACCACTTACAGGAAGCAAGCACTGAAAACTGCCATATTGCATCTCTGACTGCTGTTCTGTAATAACGTCATTAATGGCAACATTTACATTTTATATCAGAACATGAATATGTGAGGGACATTAGACCTTTACCATTGGTTGTACAGGTATAATTCCACTGTATTAATCATACAGCTTCACCCAAATTTTGAAGAGACTCCAGGGAATGGATCAGAGGGTCTCCCACTCCTCTTCCCCTTCTAGCAAATCACTCTAGATAACTTTTGGCTTACCAGTATTTTAATTACCCCCTTGCTGCACAGGCACTATACACCTAAAAGCGTCCATGCCTTCTCCGGAATTCAAACATAGCCTAGCAATATGGCGACTAACATCTCTAATCCCTGTACGAATTAAGATGGCTCCTTTTAGATCAGACATGGTTTCATAACAGTGAATACGTCTGTAGTCAAAATTATCAAACACAGAGCTCAGAAAACTTGCACTGTAACCTAGCAACAAATTATGGCAGTCCTTGCAATGGTACAGCTAAGGAAGAAAAAAGACAAGTGAAAAGGACAGCCAAACTTTTAAGGTGACATTTTTCATGAGGATTTTATACTTGAAAGAAGAACTGGGATTTACTGGATTACAGCTAAGCTCACTATGGATATCTGCCTAACAGCAGGGATGTCTTCACGAAGAGATATTGGTTCGAATTCACGTCAAAGATGCGAGACTACAATATTCCATACACTACATTACAAACAAAAGCAAATCATGGAAATCCCATAGTACCAGTCTGTTCTTGACTTCAGATCAAATTACCAGTATTCAACCCTCTTATTTACTTAGTCACGGTTGAGGTAAGAATCACAAGATGCTGAAAGGCCATATGGAAATGAATTGAAGAAGAATTGTTTCTACAACTTACAGAGTATTTCAAAGAATTCTAAGGAGGTTTAAGCAGCTTCATGTTCTTCTATACTTGCCCCACTTCACTGGAAAAACTTTTGAAAGAAAAACAAAAATATTAAGTTGTGATCACAATTTTAAAGGAGGAATTCTTTACCAAGAGAGAAATAAACTAGTTTTTTTTTTTTTTTTTTTTTTTTTTTTTTTTTACAGAAAAAGTACAGAAAAAGTTTCATAATATTCTTAGGAATGGTGAAATGTATAGATAAATATACTGAATTAGAAGGATATAATTTCCAACCTATCCCAGAGGTATGGTGAGTCACATAAATTTGAACATGGTTTCTTCAAAGGGTTAACTTTTAAATTGAACACTCTGTTTAACAAACAATTGAACATGTTGAAGATAATTTACATGGAAGATTATTAAATTGTCAATATAATACTCTGAGGTAAAACTTAGTGAAGATGTTTTCATTTAACATAAACGAGATAAATTATTTTAACATAGTTTTGAAAATATCATGTTGCACGTATCAGTATAATTCTTATAATGAAGGTTTAACATTTTTTATATTCAAATCAATATAGTGCATATAAGAACATATTGTAATTGTTTTCATAAGAAGAAATGAGACAGGTACTTTTCTGTTAACAGAACAGCAGCCAAAATGTGTACGCTTGCCAGAGACAGCAGTTGGCTTATCCTGTTTTGAACCAGACAGACTTTTCAAGCAAGATTTGACTCTGGTTTTTTCAGATAGAAACTGTGATGAATTTTACAATCAGAATCTGTTAAATTTTGAAGAGTTTGCTTTTAAATTATTTCAAAAAGAAGGATGTGAGATATATTGTTCAAAGAACCATAAAATTAAGTTTCATATGCATTGTTAGGGTTTCCATTACTATTTCATTTCAGGCTACATTTAGCTGGCATTCTGGCAACAACAGTTGTCCTGCTAAGGGAATAGCACCAGGAAAATGTACTGCATAATGATAAAATATTTTACAAATAATTCCTATTAAAAAGTTTATGATAATTGCAAAAATGGTACTTACACATATTCCCATTTACTGTAAAAGCTGGCATAGACTGCAACATCCATTTTGATGGATGTTTGAAAAAACAAATCGCTATGTAGTTAGATAATCACAGACTATCGTTTATTTGATCAGATAATTAACAGATACAAATTATAAATATAACAAAAAAACTTGAATAAATGCGAGCTTAAACTTCGAGATTATCTGACAAGTGAATTCAATAAAACTACTGCCAATCATTCCAGCAGCCATTAATCTCTAAAGGCATTTAAAATAGCAACAAAAATTGTGACCTTTGTGAACTCAGTGCCACATAAATTCATTGTATTTATATAAATACATGCAGTGTCTTCCGATTAACTCCATAGTATCTTTTATTGCATCACTTTGCAGAACCTTACAATCTTTCAATGTTCTGTGTATGCATATCAGTAAGTATATCCAGTGCTGTGGCTTAATGAAGGAAAAACTCCTTGGTTTGCTGTTCTCTAGAAGATGGCATCCAAGTTTTCCCAATTTGCACAAAAATTCAAGAGAAAAAGAAATAGCTGTTAAATTACACCCATAAATATATATATATATATATATATATATATCTTTTTGAGACCAGATAGGTCTTTCGTCTAATTACCAGTTCACTTTACATTTTCTTTTCCATTAATATATATATATATATAACTAAACTGGCTTATTGAGATCTGGGGTTATATAAAACCAAAGTCAATGTCTTGTGGCATTATGATTATCCATTACGGGCTCTAAATCACACTATTTGGTAACAATTTTTATTTGTTTAAAATGGTCAATGGGAAAATATGTGAAATGTTGCTTAGGTTCTATCCCGTCGAACAGCCAAGTAGCACAATTTAGTGCCAATTATGGATGACTGTGTGCTTTAGAATTTCGCAGTAATGACTGGCAATTGGTGACCGTTGCCGAAATTTCCACCAACGGTCGACAGGACAATTTGCAAGTACCAAGAAAATAATTACATTGGATCTATTATCAGTATTTTATTTTTATTTTTCAGCACTATTAACTATCACAATTACTAGGTTTTATGCATTCTTTTTCAGTTAATACTGTATTTTATATATTTGATTTTTTTTACTACACTTCTTAACTACACAACAGCAAAAGAAGCATATACACCTCTCAAAATAATTACCTTTTTAAATAAAGCTGCTTTAACATTAAAAAGTTTTTATATCTTAACATTCATAACGTAAATAAATTTCCTTACTTTAATACATTCAGACCTCACTGCTCTAAGGCATCTCTAGTTTGACTACAAACACAAATAACCTAATTCTACAGATCTCTATGAACAAACAGAATATTACATCAAAAGAACAAATTCACAAAAAATAGTATTCTGTTACCGGGACCATATTCAGAAATGCATGTATATATGTACGTACATATGTATGTGTGTGCATACACACACAAAGTACATACATATACACACACATAACATAAATTTCTAAATCTGGTCCCGATAACAGTTCAGTACTAAAAAAATTATAAATTAAGTACATCAACAATGCTCTTACAATAAAGTCAGATTGTCAACATTTTAAAAACACTTAGTATAAAAAAAAAAAAAAAAAAAAAAAAAAAAAAAAGGTAACTGAATATTCATGAACATTTTTGATCAATTTAAAATTCAATTAAGATGGCTTGTCTAATTTCAATGAAAAATATTTTACGACTAGTCACTGTAAGAGGAAAAATGACTAGTCAGATGAGCACACATACAGAAATGAATATTACATGAGAAATATTAATCTATTATGCAATATCTGGTAGGCATATATAAGATGTCTAATAAGGACCAGATGTTCCATTATATACAAGATGACCAACTAGATAGCATAATAATTCAATGTGTTATTTCAGCATATCGATAAAATTTGGCAACAAGAAACAAGATTTAAAATACATGGCATTTGTACATGCAAAATAAGGTATATTATTTTTCCCTGAATTAAATGGTGAATGTGACCAAAAGATGAAATGATGCAAACAGGAAAAATATAATTAGGAAGACATATACAATAACTGGCCAATAATTATGATTTCAAAGAAAGAAATGGTTTTATATTCACGTACATTACGAAGAAGGAAGAGAATTAGTTATAATTTACAAATTGTTCCACTTTACATAAAACAAAACACTTTCAGTAAAAACCTGAATTTCCTTGAGGAAAAATGCTAAAAAATTAAAAAAATAATTTTTACTTTATTTAGTAATACAAAATGCTGCAGACATATGAGAATAGGATGAGAAAAAATTACCGATTTAGTTCCTTGTTTCACTTTTACCTTAACAATTGTCTTAGGATATTTCATTAGGTAATAACTCATGCAAAGATTAAAAATAAGAATCTGAAGTTTCACAATTTAAAACTTTTTAATTTACTAAGAAATAAATTAGATTTTAAAAAATGCAACATAGAATGCTTACAAATTTAATATATTTTTTCACCAATATGAAATCTCACTTTATGAACGTTGAAAATTATACAACCCTAACAATATATCACTTGAAAATAAATAACATTACTTAGAAGAGAATAAAATTTAAACACTCATTTAACAATCAATAATATCTATTTACATTTGTCAACAGATAAATACAACATCTAGGAGGCAAATACTTTTGACTATGTAAACATTTTAATACACACAAGTTAGTTTGATGCACTTTTATTTGTTCCCGAATATCAAGCTATTCAGCTGGACTGTGACGCAAGAAATCTGTATCAAAATAAACAACAATAACTGAAATATCATCTCGAAAGTTTCTAACCATGTCATCTGGCAAAGATAACATTGCAGACAGTCGACTATGTTCTACACCATATTCTGTTCGACCCAATGCATTCCTTATGAGGTGAGTAGAAGCATTTGCATCAATAGGTTTCTTTGATAGACCAATATGCCTCTGCATAAGTATTTCATTTATTTCTTCAAGTCTCATGTGTTTTCGAGGCAATTTTAATAAATCTAAAGTTTGTTTTCCACTCATATGTTCACCAACAAATTTCACAACTTTATGGGGCAGCATTTGTTCCCATAATCCATCTGAAGCCAAAATAAGAAATCTGTCCCTGGCAGTTAAATGATGATGAAATACTTCTGGTTGTGCTGTTAAGTAAGGAGGAGTATAATAGCTTGGAGGGATAATGCCTGAACCAAAAGCAGGCAAAAGAAGCTTTTTCTGGAGAGCCCCTTTCCATTTGTAAGGGAAATCACCAAATGCTCTTAATGGCGCTAGTTGCCCTAACAATCTTTCATTCTTTATAACTGTATTCATTTCAGATTTTGGATGCTCTGATAATACTCGTCGCATTTCTTCAACGTTGTCCGTGTTGTGTTCATTGCCCAATGGTTTGCAGATCCATTTGTTGGCATCTGAAAGTATGCCAAGAACAGCACGGCAATCCCCACTGGTAGCGAGATGAAGATGGGAGCCATCTATGTGAGCAACACAAGCACATGCACCCATAATAGCATAGGCAAGCATTTCTGCATCCTTGTGAGAATATTCTTGAATTTCTTGAGATAAATCATTGTCCAGTTTCAAAAATGCTTGTGACAACGCATGTTGCATTTGAAAGTCAAAATTTTCACCCTGAGTCCGCAGCATTTCAACTGCATATTTTTTTAAGCTATTATTGTGAATTTGCTGAAGTTTGGGTGGTAAACTTGTTTCTGTTAAAGTTTCAGTTAGCTTCCCATAGAAATTTGTGTTTGATTCCACAAGCTCCCTGAGAATCGACACTGGCAGTAATGTCAATGCAATATAATCAAAAAGTCTCTGGCTTATTATTTCTGCAACAGCAGGACCACCATGTCCATCAAAAACTCCAAAAAGCATTCCAGTAGTGTAGCGACAACGCGCTACACAAATACGATCTTCTATAGGTATATTGGATGATAACTGATTGGCATCAAATGCTCTAACAGAGGATACATTTACTTCATAAGATGCTTCATTGATCCTGAGTATTGACGACACCTATAGGAAAAAAAGAAAGGAACTTAGACCTTAGATAACACTACAAACAAACAAAAAAGATTTTTATTTTTAGCTAATATCCTCAAACAAAATATGGTACTTTCTTAAAACAAATCAAATACAAAATACAAAACAAATACTAAATACACATTTAGAAACGAAAAGGACCATGGTCTTATACTATTTACAATTATTTACATTACGTACTATGGCCATAGTAATGAGCTAACCTAACCTGTCGTAAAGAACGACTTTAGGTTCAGAGTTTAAAGATTCACGAATCCGAACCACGACGTCATTCAGCCTGTTTAGGACTGTGTGCGGACCATCCCAAGGCGACTGTAATTCAGGCCTGACTCCTTTTCGTCGAATCAGGTTCCACAACCACACCTTGTCTCCTTCGTTGAATCTATGTCCAGTAGCTCTTGTGTTGTATCTGGTCTTCACTTTCTTCGTCGCCAAGTTCACTTGCTTTCGTGCGAAATGGTACATCACTTCAAAACGAGCCTGGACATCTTGGATGTGTTCCTCAGGCAATGAAGGCGCATCCGTATGGCGATCAAACATTCGGTCACAAGGCAGACGAAGGTCTCGACCGAAGAGCATCTGAGATGGAAAATAGCTGGTAGTCTTGCGTTTCTTTTTGGCTCTAGCACGATTTCGGCAGCTTCCTGAGCTGGGTCTATAGAACAAGGCGTCAGCATTTCCAGGTGAGGATCTCTTCTGAGGATGGATAGTCATGTCCTCAGATGCTGAAAGCAGTTTGTTGTTTTTGAAGTCGAAGGAAAAATTGTATTTCCTTAAAAAGTCCAATCTGAGTATGCATGGATCTGTAATATTCGCCACATAAGCCGTATGATGGTAGACGGTACTTCCAAACGTCATGCTCACATTTAACTTCCCAGCTATGGAGATTTCTTCGCCAGACGCAGTCTGGAGGGTAACACAGGATGGCGTCCAAATCAGTTTATCTTTAAATTGTTGAGCTAAATCTTTCCGAATGATCGTAACATTAGCTCTTGTGTCAATGATCATACTGCAAGGAACTCTGTCGATATGCCATTGATGGATAGTCCATTACTGTTGCCACTCAACGCTGAAATCTTGAGCGCTCTAAAAGGGTGTTTTTCATTCTGTGGCAACCTCAGTTCCTCGATATGGTCACTAATTTGTTTCCTGTGTTGTTGCTGGGAAATAGTCTTAATTTCCGTGCTCTGGGGTGTTCTGCAGTTCCTTCGCACGTCTTCAGCTCCGCAGTTCCAGCACTTTGGTCTCTTGTCACTTCTTTTTCGTTTCAAGGCATTTAATAGTCTGTTTAGCTCCTCTGTCTCACTTTCTGTGCTCTGGGATGTTCTGCAGTTCCTTCATATGTGGCTTTCAACACCGCAGTTCCAGCACTTTAGGGTTGGTTTCCTCTCACCAATATCCCGTCTCAAAGTTTTCCCTGGTCTTGTCAAATCATCCGTTATATTATCCGCGCCGTCGTATGTGCCCTTGAGTACCACATTTCCAACACCTTAGATCCACTTTGTTCTTACTCCTACTCCATATCAAAGCATTGACCTGTCTGGATAAATCCTCTAAACGAGCCATCAATTGATCCACAGGCTCGTGGACTCGCACAGCTCTGACTGGGTAGCGATCTCTACGAGTAGCTTGCTGCGCTGCCTCGAATTTCACGGCGTACAACAGAGTGCTTTTTATGTTCTTTACATCCCCCATTCGTAGAGCCTTCTGTATTTCAGGATCCCGGATGCCGTCGATGAAGTATTGCAGGGACAGGATTTCCCTTGTTTCAGTCGGGCACTCCGAAAAGGCAAGATGGGACAGCCTTTCAACATCTGTGGCGAGTTCCTGGAGTGTTTCCGTGTTTTTCTGTTGGCGGGATTTTAATTGAAGCCTACTGTAGTCTTTTAAACACTTTTCCCCAAAGCGCAGCTCCAATGTGCCGGACAGAGCTTTAAAATCTAGCCTTTTGTTTTCGGGAAGAGTCTGAAGGATATCCACTGCGTCGGCTCTTAAAGAAGCGGCGAGATGACAGGACTTAGCTTGGGAATCCCATCCATTCGCATCCGCCACGATAAAAAATTGTATCTTATATACCTGCCAGGAGGTCTTCCCATCATACGTCGATAGCTTCAGAGACGGACCAGCAGGCATGGGTAGAAATTTTAAACCATCCGAAGTGCTCCCTGCTGTTGCTATGAATTTCCATAAAGTATTCACTTCTTTGGCAACTGCAGAAACCCTGTCATCAATTTGTTGTTCGATTTGGTGTTGGAAGGCACAAACTCTTCCTTCAATTCGTTCCTCCACAGCAGAAACTCTCGCTTCTACTCGTTCTTTGATGGAAGAAACTCTTTCTTCTATTTCTCCAACCTTACTTTCGACCGAGTTTATCCTACCTTCTATAGCCTCGAATTGGTTTTCTATTACGCAGGTAATTTCTCTTTTCATTTCCTCTTGACCTGCTTTCATCTCGTCTTTAACGAATTTCATCTGGTCTTTAACACATTCCTGTCCCGCTTTCATTTTCACCTTAACAGATCTCATCTCTCCTTTAACGGAATCTTCCATCTTTTCCTGACCAGCATCCATCTTTTCTTTCATTTCTTCTTTAAATGCAGCTTGGCAGCTTTCATCTTTTCTCGGAACGTAGCAAAAGCACTGATGAGCTGCCTCAATTGTTCTTACATCGCTCTTGTTATTTGCATTCAAATCTCACTTCTGACATCAAAAATTGTTGCATGCGTACGGGTTCGTTACGAAATGAATGCACAAGTCCGATGAAAAATGAACAAAAATTTATTATTATCACAATAAATACGCTTAAATTTCCTAAAATATTCGTGCAGTATTACAATATCTCACAGTAGTCATCCTTTAACTACTCAAACGTTCAAGAGAACTTAATTCAAAAACAGCTAAAGAAAGCTAATCCGCGAATTCGCTACAGTCAACAAGAGCAGCTTTCTAAACAACAACAAACTAAGTAACTACTAAAATGAGAGGTTTTCCTCCTTTTATAAGATTTTAAAAATGCGCGCGAGAATTTTCTAGTACTTTTTCGAAATCAAAAAGAGATATTTATTAAATGTTACATGCACGCGCTCTTGTATTTTCAATTTTCCAGCTTAGCTTTCTTTTAATATTCGTCACGCGCTGCACTGCGCAGGAAATAAAACCATTTAATTTACAATTCAACTAACATTAGCTATTTAAATACTAAATTCATAACAATATTATATAATAATAAACACATTAATAAATCTCATCCAGCAATGCGAACTTAAAATAAATATATTTTTAATTATCTGAATAATTAATAATTTATCCATTATCGTCAAAAGCAATTTGCTTTAAATTTCAAAATTTTAACGCAGGCTCTTTCGAATGTGGGGCTCGATTGGGCCCAATCGCCCTTTATCCAGCCCTGCAGATATACATCATGATGGGAAGAGAGTTTTTGCAGTAAAGCTAAATCACCAATATGATGCCATTTTTGCATATGCTGGGTGAAACTGCAAACCAGACACCCAATACAGTATGTATTTTGTATTGTTCTCTTTGAGGCATGTGAGGAAGAATCAATGTCTGAGTCCTTACTGAAGACCCATCAACAAATAAAGGAGGCATTTATGATGATAAGGAAATACCGTGTGCATCAACCAGGTCAGAAGAGAAGAATAACAGAGAAGTTATCAAGTTCTCTTTTTCTTGTAACACTTAACCATAAAGACTTTAGTAACAAAAATTACCACATGAGATTTCTCCTTGTAATGAAATTTCAATTAGAAAAGTAAAACAGCTGTGCAAGATCCTTGCAGTGCTATCGCTGCCAAGGATTCCACCCCACTCAGTCAAATCATCATCAGTCTCCCTGCATCAAATGCAAAAAAGCTTAAGTCTTCCCAGTGCACTAAAGACATGAATACTCCTCAAATGTACAAACTGTCATGAGGAAGGACACGCTGCCAACTTCAGAGGCTGTGCTAATTTTCCTAAGAAAAAAAAAAAAAAAAGTGTTTTGCAACCTAAATCTTATACCGATAGATTTGTGGTAAATAATCTTACTCACAAGCCTTTATCTATGTGACCTAGCCCCAGAATCTTCATCAAAAGCTAAGCAAGTTCTATCAGAGCTCAAAATGTCTTTCTCCATAATTAAAGAACCTGGCATCTCCCTTCTCACCTAAATGCATGATGCTAAGAAAACTACTACTATTGCTGTGCCAGTTCATGGATAAGCGCATCCACAAGTGTAATGTTGTACATTTAGTAGTCTGGAATGCCTGTGGGCTTCTTAGCAGAACTACGGACATGCAACATTTTTTAGAGTCATAGGCTTAGTCGCAGAAATCCACACTCAACAATGTCATTGTCTAAATATACCAATCTATTAATCATAGAGATATGATCAACAAACCCACTGAGGAGGTGGTATGATATTATATCAAAAATAATGTGGACTTCTACCTTATTAGTGAAAACAGATTTCACAACTGTGAAATAATAACTGTTTGTATAAGTTACCTGTTTCTAAAAGCATTAACTTCAGTGCCATTTACGATTCACCCCAAAACAGATTGTGTGCTGTTATTTTGGATGTTGTTCTTCTGCTGAATATCCCTGCTATTATAGCGGGAGATTTGAATTCAAGCAAACTGCTTGGAATTGCCAGAGAAGAAATGCTAATAGTAAAATTATTTGTAGCTGCAAATCAGTAATCCAGTTGTGCTGCATGCGTTAAGTAAATATTAAATATACGCACACACTAAGTTGCATAGAGCAGTTCAACATATTAGACATTGCACTAAGTACCACCATCATGCCCTTTGCATTAGATGTAGTGCATGAATTATCATTTGATCATCTCCTGATAATTATCTTGCTGGAAATTCCCAAACCAGACAACACAACCAGCAGAGTTAGCATGGATTAAAGAGTTTTTGAGAACCTGATAAAAAATAGTGCACTAAATCTTAGTAATTTAAAAAACC